AAAATCTCAATATTTAATGCTTTTGATAGGCACTCATATCTGCTAGTGGGAATGTAATTAACACAAATTGAAAACAATTTGACAATATGTAACAAATCTTTAAAATGTTCATATACCTTGATCAACCCATTTGGAGGGCTATAGCCGAGGGAAATACTCCAAAGTTCAGAGAAAGCTTTGGGCACCAGGTCTCCCCAAGGTTATAATACCGAATCTTTATCAACAACGTAAATGTACCATAAGAAAATCATACCTCTATCCAGTGGACTGTTACACCACCATTAAAAATGGCAGCCAGCAAGTTTTTATTAACTTGAGGGGAATGCATATATTCTAAAGTTAGGTCGAAAGATAGAACACAAAATGAATAATTCCAACCACATAAACAAATGCACAGAAGGAAAGATATCAAAACAGGAAAAGTAGTTAGACTTATTTATAGTTTACTGTGTTTTCCAGAAAAAAAAAAAAGAAAGATGCTTTTTAAATTAGATTTTCCTTTTCTTTGGTACAAGGAACAATATCACAAGCACTGTTATTAAGCTTACGGGACATCAGTTTTTGTTTATTTTCATTTTTTTATTAAGAAACAGAGGAGAGAGAGAGTTGAGGGAAGGGGAAAGCGGAAACAGCTCTCTTATCCTAATTAAGCTTGGCCTCGAGAGGGGTGCTGTCATCTTTGTAGAGCCAGGAAACAGGCTCAGGTCCGGGACTACCTGAGGGGCACAGCCAGGCTCAGACCCAGGCTACGGGGCTCTCGGATGCTCCTTCACCATCACACCCAGGGAAACAGGCTAGGATTGGGAGAGAAAGAGAAAGGAAAGGGCAAAGCAGGAACACAAAATCCTAGGGGTTAATTTACATAATTATAGAAAAGGTTGGTTTTAGTGGGTAGGATGGTAGATGGTTTTTTCCCGCCTCTCTTTTCCAGATTTTTATAAGGTGATATTAACTTTTTATTTTTATTTATGTGCAAGTAAAAAACTACAACCATTTCAATTCACTGGACTATGACCATCAAGAGAGAAAAAAGGCACGCTACTCGCCCTGTCCCCTTCCTAAGGGGAATAAAGGAATTGGCAGAGGGGGAGAGCGGAGGCATGCCACACAGCTCCTACTTGAACGAGCCATACACCACACTATGGGGCTGCAGGAACCTCAAGATTTGGGGGAGGAGGTTGGAGCGTGTGTGAGTGTGAGTGTGTGTGTGTGTGTGTGTGTGTGTGTTGGGAGGAGCAGCAGGAGCTATGGAACCTACTGCAAAGGCACCTCAGGGGGAGTCAGCCCCGTCTTGCAGTTTCCCCACACTATCCACAACACACACACACACACACACACACACACACACACACACACGTGCTCTGTAAGGCACATTTACAAAAACTTGTGCGCCATCGCTATTTTCCCTCCCATCCACATTCTCAACCACAAAGCATGAAGACAGGTGTGCGCGAGGATGGGGCAGCACCTGGAGGGGAGGAGGGGTTCCTTCGAGCAGCTTCTGTTTTGATGGGATCAGGCTACACAGACTGCGGTTCTGGGGAAATCCTTTCCAAGTGCTCTTCATGGGCAGCTGCCCTAATTCTGGAGGGTAGCGTGTCTTAGAGAGCTCTGCCTCACCTCGGTGGGTAAGCGGGATGCTCCTACGCAGCACCACCATGCTCCATCCCAGGAGAGGGGAATAGGGAAACTTTTAATTCTAACACAAAGAAGAACTAATGGGAATCCATTTTTGCAGAGAATTTGCCCGCAGTCTCGCTATCCCAGTAGAAAATGCTTTTATTTTTCCAGGTCCCTTGTCAATCTGTGTTCGTAGGTATAAACAAGACTGTAGGAAGTCACTTGTGTCCTTTTGGAGAGCCAGTTCCAGAAAGTGACTGGGATTTAGGAAAAAGTGAGTGGTGAGGAGGCAGCTGGGGTGAGTTTGGTGAAGGGAAAGAGAAAGTAGTTCAGTGGCTTGAGTGGCTAGCTAGGTCAAGGTGATCTGCATGTTTAAGCTGGAGTGGGAAGTGATGCAAACAGGCATCTTCAGGAGCTGGCAGACAGGAAGAGAGGAAGCTAAAGGCCCAAGAGGACCTGAAGTGTCCAGGCTCTTGAGCAATCTGTCTTGTGTGTGCAGAACTCTTATGACGCATTGTCACATCTAGGGCCCAGCTCTGATGCTCACAACAGACCTGGGGAGGCTAGATGGGTGTCTCATCATTTTATCTAGGATATAGTTCAGAGATATGACCCCATTTGCCTAAGGTCGCATAGCTGTGAACTGGCTCTTGGATTGAGATGGATTGACCCCAGGTCTAGGATTCTTTCTGGCCCAGATAGCACTGTGGCCTCTAGCAAAGACAGGGGGCGCTTATTCTCCCACAGACAGAAGGAAGAAGATGGAAGAGACTGAGGCCACAGGAAGACTGAGTTGTTGAGGGCAGAGGTAAAGTGAGGAGAGGAGAAGAGGGGAAATGAAGATCTGTCCAGGATGGCCAAGCAGCTGAGAGGTGGCAATGGGAGTCAGATTATACAAATTCACAATCATCAAGTGGCCAAGGTGGACGGTCAAGGAACATCTTTACCTAAAGCTCTTAGGTAACTTTTGGCTCTACACAGGGGCTTTACTGCCCATCAGTTAATAAAATCTCTGGTGGCATTTTCCTAACGGGCATTTACCCAAGGCATCAGGGGGAGCTAGGAGGCCCCAGTTTTCATTTTGCCACGTTCCATCTAACTGTGTCATCTTGGATAAATCACTTGGAAAATAAGAAGCAAATATAAGAAGTCTATGATGCTATGCCTTCCCAACCTCCCTATCTACGTCTCTTTTCATCCCTCTGTTGACTCTGGGGAGAGACTGATTGCAAGTATCACTTGGACCCTTTCTTTTCATGAAAGTCAAGAAAATCCTAAAATCCAGGCCAATGAGCCCCCATCTTGGAGAGTGAGCTGACTCTCACACTCCTAAGACATGGCTTTGCACTAAGCAAGACTCAATAATAATCTCCCAACCAGCATTGGCATGACTTCCCTTTGCTGCAGGCAACTGCCCAGAGGATTCCTTCATTATAATCTTTCTATGAATGATTCAGGAGTAATTACCATCTCTGTTTGCATCTGGAGGAATAAAAACATAATGTAAAAGAGAAATGAAAATCCTCGGTTATCTGAAAACAGTACCCAGACACGTTGGCTTCTGGGTTCACCATTCTGTACCATCCAACTCTTCCCTGACTTGCTTCATACAATAGAGTAGACTGGCACCCTCAACGCTCAGGTGTCCTGGGATCAGTTATCAAACTGTCTTGGATTGAATTCCATGAGGTGGCCCAGCAGAACCAGGGTTCCTAATTCTTAGCCATCCTGATGGGCCTTGTCCTAACTCCTTCCCCACTGCAGGTGCCCTGCAGTCACATGCTTTTGTCAAGTGATCTGCAGCTTCAGGCTGCTCCAGCTCTGCAGAAAAGAATAGGGGGAAAAACTGAGAGAGTAAGAAAATATAGCTCTCTCCTGGGAACCTCAGAATCTCCTAGCTTATGAAACACAACTGCCGGTTACCTTCCCCCAGAATCCCCACTGGCCAGCAGAACAGGCTCTGAGGTCAACCTCTCCTCCCACCCTACTCCCCATTTGGTCCATCCAAGAGATATAATACTTGCAGAGGGGACCTGCTGATGTCTTGACCTGGTTCAGAAATGTGGACATGTTACCAACTGGGCAGGGAAGGAGGCTGCTGAAAACATTGAGTGTCTCTCTCTCAATAGTGAGGCCCACCAATTGCTAAGCCTTTGCACCATGCTCTCAGCTTCCTCTGCCTCCAACAAACTTTGTGACTCACAGTCTGTTTGCAGAATGAGGCAGCTGAGCAGCCTCGGTGATGGGTTAAATTGGGAACATGCTCTTCTCCCTACATCCACCCCTCAGGTGCCACCTGAGCCCTACCTGGTATGGGGGTGGGAGGTGAGCATAGCTCCAGTTCTTTTGCTTTCCCTAGAAGAGCTGTCAGAACCTGGGTTCTGATGGACTTCTGTCCATTGGGATCATTTCTCTCTCTCCCTCCCTCTCTCTCTCTCTCTCACACACACACACACACACACACACACCCAGCAGCCCAGAAGGTCTGGAGGCTCTGTAATGCAGTTGATTTCTAGACTGGCCTGGGTCTCCAGTGCTCCACTCATTAGAGCTGCAATGTGCGACCCAAAGTGCTCTCTTTTCTTCATCCACACTGCCTCCGAAACCAGAGGAATTCCTGGCAAATTTTAAAGCAGAACAGTGCCTCATGAGGGTCTGGTTAACTGTTGCACATCAGTTGAGGGGTTGGCCCTGGAAAGGGGGAAGAGAGGTCAGAGGACAGCCAGAAGGTGGCTACCCAGAGCTGCATGGCACCCTCAGCAGCGTCCCCTCCCTTCATGACTGCGAAGGACATATCTGGAAGTTAGGGAACCTGGGTGCCACCGGCAGCAGGGGCAGGCAGAGGCCACGTCCATCCAGGGGCGGCGAGATGAGTCTCCCAGGACTGGCTCGCTCCCCAGCCCTCTGCACCGCCGGCGCCGCCTCCCACAGCCTAGGAGCCGGGCGTGAGGTAGGCAGCGAGCGTCGCCCCGCAATCCCGGACCGGCTTCCCGCATAAAACTCCCCAGCACAACCCGCTTTTGTCAATTCTGCAAACGCTGTCACACGACCACCTCCATCAACGCCCCCGTCTGCTCGGCTCCAAGGGAGACCCGCTTTCCCCGGAACCCTGCCGCTCAGGATCACCCAGCCCCCCGCCCCCCGATGGACCACCGCCCACCCGCCCCAACGCCAGCAAACCACCAGCCCAAAGGGTCTCCGAGATCCCCAGGGTCCCCGGCCCTAGGCATCTTTGTCCTTTCAGCACAGACGCGCGCACACAGAGCGACAAGAGCCCAGTCAGGCACCGAGTCCGCGCCCCCTGGCCTCGCCGGGGCCCCGCAGGGGGACAATGGTCCGCGTCCTGCAAGTTTGCGAGCCGGAGGCAGAGCCCTCCTTACCGTACATCTCGGCGGGGCCAGCGCCTCCCGGGAGGCTGCGTCGCCGCGTCGCCTGCAGCCAGCCCCCGGCGGCGCCTGCCTTTCATTCACGGCCGGCGCGGTGGATGGCGGCGGCCGGCGAGGCCGGGGCGGGGCGGGGCGGGAGCGAGGGCCGGACGCGGGAGGGCCGGAGCCAGCACCGCGAGCCCATTCAGGGGCCGGGGCTGAGCGCGGCCGGCCCCCGCTCGGGTTTCTGGGCAGGGCTGCGCCGAGAGGGGAGGTGGCTATGCTAATACAGACGGCCCTCCCTCCCGTCTCCGCCACTGCCGGGCGGCCCCGGCCCGCGCCCCGCCCTGCCCCGCCCCTCCCCAGGCAAACACCCTTGCTCCGCCCACTCCGGCGCCCGCCCCCTCGGAGAAACCCAAATCCCAAAATGCGCCTTTTCCCAAATTGTCGCCCCAAGGTCCTGGGCGGCGGGTTTTCCGGCTGCAGCGTTCCCCGGGGGAGTCACCCATCCGAACTCCTTGCTCCTGTCGGAATGCTCAGGCCCACAGCTGAGATCTCCCCGAACCCGTGGGCCCCGAGGGTCAGCAGGGGCGCTGGAAACTGCAGGTACACCCACTCCCCTAAATTTGTCCAGGGTGCATCGGCTGAGCCAGGAGGCGCAAGGAAGAGGAATTGGAGAACAACCCCCCGCCCTCCCTTGGCGCCCTAAGTCTCGTTCTCTAATTAAGCCCTTAGCTGTGGCCCGCCCAGACCCTCTGGCCGGGTGTCTGCTGCCAAAGAGCGTCCTTCCTGCGCCAGGTACGCGGGAAACGCACCGCACCTCGCCGCGCAAGTGCGGCAGGAAGTCAGCTTGCTTTTCCTTTCCCAGGTTTATACGTGTAGTTCACCAGCTTTGCGGCCAGCATGCTCTCCACCTGTACCCCAGGGCCGCCTGTTCCACCTTCTGTGACCGCGTGGGAAACAGATCCAGAGGGGCAGAAGGCTCACGACCCACACCCTGAAGACATCCCCAAGCCCAGCTCAGGATTTCCCTAAGGCTTCTCACCCAGCCTCCTCCATGTCTCACACATTCACCTGTCCTGTTAATATCTATTCTCTAGTTTTTCCTCTTACCCTGTGGTTAAGGTTTTTTGTCCTCAAAATATTCTGCTAGTGGAAGTTAGAGAGGGGATTTGATGTCTCCCATTGTACGGAAAAGGAAACTGAGGCCGTGAGAGGTTAATTTGTACTCTTTTTCCTAGATACACTGAGCCATGTGTCTGCAGGCCAGTCATCTGCCGGCTCTGCAGCGCTTCTGGGAAATTTATATGAAACCTACATGAAAGTACACAGTGGGCACTCACAGATTTATTTTCATTCCTTCCTTCCTCACACAAGGCAGGGATAGAGCCAGAGAGAGAATCCAGGTTGCGGGACTCTTGGAACAGTGCTCTCTTTTTGTATCCCAAACCAATGTTTCCTATTTCTTGCTGTTTCCACATTTTGGTCCTGTTTCTTTACCTCTCTCAGCAGCACGTGCAAACCTTGGAGGCGCCCTGGGAAACTCTGGGAGGGTTCCTGAAGCTCACATTTAGTCTAGACCAACACACGACTCACAAAGCGGCTCTGTCTCTATTCTCTAGTCCTAGGACCAGGCCAGGTGGCTTTGAGATCTGCTGAGAGTCATACCTGCACCAGGGCAGAAGGGAGAATTTGGAGCCTAGCTTGGTCTGGACATCTGGAGATACTCCCAGCCCACAGTTCTGTTCAACACAAAATATGCTCATTAAACACTGCTGTCTGCAGCGCAGTGGGAAATGCAGTGTCTGTCTTCACAGAGTGAAATGTCTAGCAGGGAGTACAAGACAAATACTGATAAAAACATTGCGTGACGAGGAACAAGGCGGTAAATTGTGCATGAGAGGCACAGACCTCTATTTAGACATTCAGAGGGCTGATAGGTTAATTCATTCTTTTTATCAAATATTTATTGATCACTCCCTATTATGTGCTAGACACTGTGAAAAGTACTCAGGAGAGGGGAGACATGCAAAAATTTTAATAAAATCTAATAATTATGACAGCAGAGGCCCATAGAAGGAAAAGGGTAGAGCTTCATGAAGAAAAAACATTCAGGATGGGCTTTGAAGAATGGGCAGAAGTTCTAGACATGGAGATAGTGTAAATAATTCCAGCCGGAGGGATTACAATTTGCAAAGGTTGGGATAGTAGAGGGTAGAGTATGTGAGGCACAGCGTGGAACCCGCCTGGCTGGAGCAGAGCCGAGGAGGGGAGCAGAAGTAGAAAGGAGGCTGGATGGGTCATCTGGGGCCATGTGGGAGGGCCTTGAATGCCCAACCCAAAGTCTTTCTTTTGTGTTCAATCTGGGGTTGCCAGATTTTGCAAATAAAATGCAGGATGACCTATTAGATTTGGATTTCAAATAAATACGGAATAATTTTTAGGTATGTCCCATGCAACATTTGTGAGATACTTATACTAAAAAAAATGTTTATTGTTTATTCAAAATTCAGATTCAGCCTCTGTTTTATGTAGCAGCTTTAGTTAGATCGTCCCTTGGAGGGTGCTCCTGGATCCTCATGGCTGACCCAGGCCTGGAGTAGTCCTCCCTCACCCCAATCTCTGTGCCCAAATAGATCCCAGTGGAATGTGGCTCCTAAGGGCACAGAGGTGGGGTCACTCGGGCCAGTCTGTACCCTTTGGCATGGGTGCTTTGGCCAGAGGGCTGAGGGTCCTCTGGGCCCTGTGTGTTCAGTGGTGAAGGAATCGGCCCATACCCAGCTTCTCTGAGGCGTAGTCAAGATGTTTGGATGAAATTTGTGCAGAAAATGGTGCTGTCAAGGTCTAAGGTACTGGTGCTTCTCCCATATGAGGAGGCCGAGACTTGGGGGGAACACAATCTTCTGGCTCACAGTTTAAAAGAAAAGAGCAGAACCCAAGGATCCCAATATCCAGAATAGTGTGCTCATGAAGAGACACTGAGCAAATTTCAACTATTTAGGTGAACCATGGAAAGGAGGGAAAGTCGGAATTGAGATTCCTATCCTACCTAGGTTCTTACTTTATCTGCAGAAACCTACAACACGGTGATGCGGAGTGACAGGAAGGAAAGTGGAGAAGAAATAACACTTACTGCGTGCCCACTGTGCCACGCATTTTACATGGGTTCTCTCATGTGACGCTCTCAGAAACCTTGCAAGGTCAATACCATCTCAGTAGTGCCCCCTTATCCGTGGTTTCGCTTTCTGTGGTTTCAGTTATGTGCAGTCAACTGTGGTCTGAAAATATTAAATGGAAAATTCCAAAAGTAAACAATTCGTAACTTTTAAATTGTGCACCATTCTGAGTAGCATGATGAAATCTCGCGCTGTCTGCTCCTTCCTGCCCAGGATGTAAATGTCCCTTTTCCCAGCGTATCTACACTCTATAGACTACCCAGCGTTAGTCACTTAGTAGCTCTCTCAGTTATCAGATTGGCTGTCTGTGTACCACAGTGCTTGGGTTCAAGTAATCCTTATTTTGCTTAATAATGGCCCCAAAGCTCAAGAGTAGTGATGCTGGCAATTCAGATATGCCAGAGAAAAGCCATAAAGTGCTTCCTTTAAGTAAAAAGGTGACAGTTCCCAACTTAATAAGGAAAGAAAATACATCGTGTGCTGAGATTGCTAAAATCTCCAGTAACTTTTATTACAGTCTATTCTATTTTATTAGTTATTGTTGTAAATCTCTTACTGTGCCTAATTTATGAATTAAACTTTATGATAGATATGTATGTATATGGAAAAACATAGGGTACATAGGGTTTGGTTCTATCCATGGGTTCAGGCATCCACTGGCGGTCTTGGAATGTATCCCCAGCGGATAAGGGGGAACTACTGTATTCCCATTTTACAACTGGGAAACTGAGGCCCAGAGAGATGAGATAACTCTCTAGTAAATAGCTGAGCAGGAATTCAAGCCTAGGAGACTCTGCCCAAGACCCTTTCCTCTCCACCACACCATGACGCCTTGTAGTCCACTCATGTGCGCATAACGACTGTGCTAAATCGACAGTTCTTCCTAACAGTCTGAAAGCCCGTGCCCCCTTCCTTCCTTTATCTGCATTTGCTCCTCCTCCCCATCTGTGTTTCGCTTCCCCGTTACCTGAGTTTGGAGGGTAGAGATTGGAGAAGGTCTCAGGCTATCCAGACCAAAGCAGGCGCTCTAATTTCCACCCCCTCCTAGGCCATCAGCAGTGGACCCCCCATGGCATTGGCCACCTCCAGAACCTGGAGCCTCCTGATACAGGTTGGGTCAGGCCAGAGGAACTGTGCCTTAGAAAACGTTACTATCCTTTAGCCAAAGTGAGCCGTCACCCTGAACAATGTCCTTTCCTGCAGCAGCTCAAATGATCTCCTCTGCTATGAGCAAGCACCACAATTTCCAGAGTTTCCATATGAACCAGAGGCTGAATTTCCCTGCATTACAGAGAAAAGGAGGCTTAGAAGTAGGAAGCAATCTACAACCATCGCATGAAACCCAAGACTCTCTGTCGCCTCCAGACTCCAGTATCCACAGCACACCACCAGGCCTGCCCTTTAGTGCACAAGTCTGCCTTCCTGATGCTCCAGACCCGAACAGCCCCGTCAGCTCCACTGTCTCTGTAGGAAAGCCTCTAACCTCCTCATCAGGCACACGACTGCAGCAGCTCTTGCTCAGGGCACCAGCCTGAGGCAGCCAACAGCTTTAAAGGGCCTTCCAGACGGAAGGAAGAGGGAAGAAGACGGCGGCCCCAGGAGATTCAGCTTCAGGGGAAAAAAAAATCATGAGACCTAGAGAAGGGCCCAGGGAGAAGCAGAGGGGAGACTGTGCCCCTAAGATTGTCACGTAGCTGGTTATCTGTGAAGCCCGAAATAGAACTCAGGATTCCTGACTCCAGGCCAGGTGACTTGAACCCTGGCACTTCTCCCTTAAAGCAGGTACCTTGACCTACTTCTAGGAAGCCACAGGGAAAGAACAGCCTATAAAAACAATACCCAAGTATAGGAGCGGTGAGTATCCAAGAGCTGAGGAATGCATCTCCACAACACAGAAAACAGCTCAGGAGCCGGGTCAGTAGGACGTGCTCCTGGCAAGGTTCCTGGGTGCTGCCGTGGGCTGCAGGAGAGACGCAGGGGCCGCAGAGAGGCCGGCTGCCCTGAGACCAGGGCCTGAGCGTCTGAGGAGGAGAAGGCTGGGGCAGACAGATTTTACCCCCTCTAAACCAGGTTTTACCAGAGAGGGAGGGAAGTTTGAGGTACTGATTATTGACCTGTTAAGGGTTAAAAGAACTAAGCAAGTTCTCCCAGCCACCATCCTCTTCACTGCCTTTGGTTTACCCTGTGTTCACCCTCCGGAGAGGGGGCAGGCTCCCTTCGTTAGCCGCTGCTCCCTATGGTCCCTGGAGAAGAGGCTCCTTTTCCACACGAAGCTCATATCCATGTCCACTAGCTTCTAGTAAAAAGCTCAGGCATTGCCACGCCCTTTGCCCAGACTCTTCTGTCTTTTCACTCTCTCCTTTCCCCAGCTGTCGGGCGGCACCTGTTCCCCACCCCTTGCCTCCCATCTCCAGCCTGTGTGATACTTGC